AACAAACAAACGAGAGAAAAGAAATAATATATTACAAAACAAATTCTTGACTTTGTGATATAATCGTGTTCCCTTGGAAGGGGGGGGGATATTGTCATGAAAGGATTTTTTTTCAGGCGAGAAAGGAATTCTTTTGTTTAAGAACTGGCAGGAAATGTACTACTCAAAGGTCAGTTAGACTTAGAGGTAGTCAAGCGTATTATGCCTTACTGCATAATTAAATTTGCATTTATGACACAGAGTCAATAGTGTTTTTTTGTTTTGTTATTGCATGCTTTTGATTGCCTGTTGAATGTTAATATCAATGGAAATATCTTGCATACCTGGGAGGTTTGGATGTTAAGGAGCCGGGCAAGGAAAGGGTAATTAGTCCAGGACCAGGACCAGTACTGCAGCTCTCGTGCCGGTAAAGCCCTTATCACACCAAACTAGTTCTCTCTACGTTCTGGAACCGTCCTAGAAAATCATGAAACGGGTTGCGGTCTGGGTAGCATGTGTAAATAATGTTTATAATACGATCCTAGTTTGCTCATATTGTTCAGTCCTCAATACGTCCATCTCGTCTGTAGGCCTATAGATCTACCCAGTCAACAGTCCGTTCATATCAAGTTCATATCGGGTAAATTTGCCATTTACAGGTAGTCCAAGCCAGTCCATAGTCAGTTTAAACCCGTTATTAACTGGTTCTTCCTAGTTCCCAATACGTCCAATCCTATTCTAACTAGTTTGTAACCCAACCACCCGTTCAGAGACAGTTCAACTCGTCCTCATTTCGTTCTTAGTACGTTCGAACGCGCTCCTAGAGAGTGTGCAATCGCGTCCTTGCTCAAGGGTTATACAACCCCAGCGCGTTCTCGTTATTCCTCATTCCCGTTCAATTTCATCGATTTAAGCTGTGCAGATCAAGAAATTCAAGTGAAGCCCCTATCACACCAAACTAGTTCTCACTACGTTCTGTAAAATGTTGCCAAACAGGCTCAAACTGTGTGCGAACGGAGTGAACGTACAGTAACAACTGCTTATGATCTGTTTAAGAACTTCATGGACGGGCTCGGACTGGCATGGACGGGAAGGGTGCTCTTGAACTTTGAGCCTGTTCAAAATTGTCCCCGTCTTGCAATTAGACGGAGTGGCAACCTACTCAGGGCCTACTCAAAACACGATTAACATGGTTGAATATGCCTTCGTACTTTTTGGCACACATGTATCAACATGACTCAATAATTTGTGCTTCATAATGCGCCTGCATTGAATCATTCAAGACATATCGTATATTATTTTCTAAAATCGTTTTAATCAGATACCTCAACAAATAGAAAATAATACAATTTTCGAAATTAAAATTATTCTTTGTTGCTCCATGATGTAAGATTCATGTTTTCTTATACATCATTCACATTATTCAAGAAATGACAGTAGGAAACAAGCTTCAATGAAAGAAAATATATATGAATGTACATACACTGTCGCTCGTATAGTTGGAATATTTTTTTTTACCCCAATTTATGGAATTATTTTGACAATGATTTATTCCTAATAGATTTAGATAATAGTAAACATTCTCAAATGTTATTGAATAATAATTTGCCAGTGTTTGTTTTGCGTGATTGCTAAAGCATGTGTATGCTACTATGCTTATCAACTAAGGGACCTACGCCCTTAAGTCATAAATGACAGTAATGAGGATTAATGCCCCACAAAATGGCACTTATATGGCACATCGACATGGTTTTGATCATGGAGCCTCACAGTTAAGAGGCACTTGCTTTGCCACTAAACCATGACTGTACGCAGCGGGGGCTAAGGTAGGGGGCAGTTCCCACACAAAAAACACAAACAAAAAAAGCAATAAATTATCAATAATTCATTGCATTTTACCCCGGTCCCCAACATAAAAAATCCTCTGTACGGCCATGCATTATAAATCAAGGCATGGGCGCGCAGAAGATTATATAATCCGATACACTGACTTTCATGTAGTGATGTGACCTAAAGTCTACAACTATTTTTACCCACATTATTTTGTCAGACATGTGCAAATCATGGTATTTCAAAAAGGAAAAAATTAAGCTTATCCTTGATATCAAGCCAGGGGCTTGCCCAACGTGGCAGAAGGTTATTAATGCAAACTGGATTCCAGGTGCTGTGGTCCCTTTATTGACGACAGGTTGATGTAGTGCCTCATCGCACGGGCCCCGGGAAGGAGTTCTGTTTTATTTCTTTTTTATTTTTGATTTATAATCTTTTGACAGGGTAGCCCTTTCACCAATAAGTAGTGGTCTTCCATGGGGCCCTGCATAAACATGGACATATTTACATCGTTTATACCGTTTATACAGAACAGTTAAAAATAACACTCGTTTGCAAAGTAAACGCTTTAAGATTTTTTTTTTTAATTTATTTTATATGATATGCATTTCATGTTAACTTATCAATATCTCTTCATTTCATTCTCTGTTTATCTCTTAATCACTACCACCACCATACTAGTACAAAACAGAAACTTTATATGCAAACCAGTTATTGTACCTTTAATACAAAATTACTTGTGAATAATAATCAATATTCATGGATAATGATTTAGACCTGTTATCCATTTTCAATACAAAAAAGGTATCCTCCGACATGAATTTAGTTTACTTCACGTAAATGCTAGAAGTTTAAGCAAAAAATTTGATTCTCTGAAAACATTGCTGCATACTCTAAATAATTTTCCCTTTTCTATTATTGGTGTCACTGAAACTTGGCTTCGTAACACTTCGCCTAATTTATTTAACTTGCAAGATTACACATTATTCAGACTAGATCCCGATAAAAAAAAACAATAAAAGGAGGGGTGTCACATTTTATGTCAATGAACATTTACAATTTAAAATCCGAAAAGAAATATTGTTAAAACAAATTGAATCGTTATTTTCGAGAAATCATTAATCCAAAACAAACAATATAATCGTCGGATTAATCTTTAGCCCCCTCATAGTCACACAAATTTATTTTGTAAAGATCTAGATAAATGCTTTCATACTCTTACAGGAGAAGGTAAACACGTATATTTAATGGCAGACTTAAACATTGACCTTTTATCTCATAATAGGTACCAGGACACACTTCTTCATATTTCTTATTCTAATAGCTGTTATCCACATATGAATAAACCAACCGGAATTGACGGCCAATCTTCAACCCTTATAGACAATATTTTTTCTAATATCTTTGATAAAGACATTACCAGTGGATTAATACATTATGATGTATCTAATCATTTGCCAATTTGTTTAATATGTGATAATGAAATTACGATGAAAACGTCAGCTAAATCAAACATGAACAGAAAAGAAACACCCCAAAATATTGAATCGTTAAAAAGTGACCTAGCAATGGAAGAATGGTTGGTAAAATCAAATATTAAATCTACCTGGGAGATTATAAATGATTTGATTGGAGTACCACAAAAGTCAATATTAGGCTCTTTGCTCTTTCTATTATACAACACCTTTATTATCATTTGTGATATTTGCTGATGACACGAACAGCTGCTGTTCACATCATAATTTAAACACTTTAGTAAATACATTTAATAATGAGTTACTAAAATTATCCCTATGGTTTCAATGCAATAAGTTATTCCTCAATATAGATAAAACAAATTTCATGTATTTCAAGCACGCAAATTCTCATGTCATCGACTTTCTTTACAACATAATTATAGATAATGTCCCTCTCGAAAGAAAGAGAACAACAACATTTTGGGGTGTCATCATCGATGAACATTGAAATTGGAATGAACATATGCGTCATAATTATAACTACTTCTATTTCTAGGATTTTTGGTTTATTATATAAATAAAGAAATTAGTTCAATTTTATACGCTTGTTAAGCTTTATAATTCATTGATATTTTCGTATATAACATATTGTAATGTAGTATGGGCCACCAGCACCAAAACCAAAATGAACTCTATTTATTTATAGCAAAAGAAAGCCCTTCGTATATGTACTGGTTCACCATATTTATCTCACACAAGTCCAATATTTTACAAACTGAAAACCCTAACAGTATTCGACATAAAATTTGCTACAAAGTTTACAGATCATGTTTAAGTATTCAAATATTATGCTCCCTCTTTCATTTCAAAACTGTTACACTATAATAAAGCCATTCAATCCTATCATACCAGTTATTCCTCAGATTTTCATCTAGTCCACCCGAAATTACTTATTGCCCATAGATCTATTAGACACCATGGTCCAGACCTATGGAACACTCTCCCAGAATCTATTAAAATCATGTTGCCCCCTACTCACTTAAGGCCAAAGTTAAAACGATGTTATTATCAGAACATTCAAGGTAAATTTCTGTGTCAACTTTTCAGTCTTTACTTTAATGTCATCTCTTCTTTCATTCGTATCATTATCATCATCGTCATCATCATCATCTTTATCATCATCTTCATCATCATCCTCATCTGCATTGTCAACAGGCGCGTACACAGGGGGGGGGGTGTTTGGGGGGTTAACCCCCCCCCCCCCTTTGGTATTTTTTATGCGTAAACCCCCCCCCCCCCCCATCACCCCCCTAAACCCCCCCCCCCTCGCCTTTGAATTTTTTAAAATTTTGTTATTAATTATTGAAAAAAAAAAAAAAATTATTCCCATGGCTGACCTAAAAAGGTGACCTTACCCCCCCCCCCCCAGTGGAGCGAAAAGTCAAATTTTCCAATTTCGAGACCAAAAAAAAAAGTGTCCTCTTACCCCCCCCCCCCCCCCCCCCCCCCCCCCCCCCCCCCCCCCCCCTCCCCCGCTTATTCAGCGGTCGGCTGAGTCGTTGCGATTTTTTGGGACGAACAAAAAAAAAAGTGTCCTCTTACCCCCCCCCCCCCCCTTACGCTTATTCAGCGGCTGACTGAGTCGTTGCGAAATTTTCGACCCGATTTATAAATGTTAACCCCCCCCCCCCCCCCCCCTTGAAAAAAATCCTGCGTACGCGCCTGATTGTCAATATCACCACCATTAAATATGTATTTCAATTACCTATCCGTCCAGCTGAATAAATGTGTTACTAGTAATCTATTTCATGAGTTTTGTCTGGGGCTGCTGTATTATCAAGCAATCTGCTTACAATGACAGTCCTTCTTCCGCAAATAGTTTCTTTTGTTTGAGGAAATTTAGTATTAATTTTTTTGTGACAGTTTGTCATTTCGTTTATTTAAATAACAATTGTTATATATATTCGCTAATTTATGATTCATCGTCAGAAATATACTTATTGTACTTTATATTATTATTCTTATCGAGAAACTTTGTACTTTGCAGAAGAAAATAAATTAAAACCAAATTAAAAAAAGAGTTGAGAATAACAGAAGCACAGGACGCAGAAAAGGAAACCATGATAATTTAGGACAACTTATCGTCACGGTTTTTCTAATTGGATACATCAGAGAAAATGCTCAAGTCCATCAGCATAGTTTTTCTTTCAGTTATTAAGATAAAATGTTATATTTCACGATAAGTTTGAAAGCATGGTTTCTTCTTCACAGAATGATTCGTACATGGACATATATACGTAATTAATCAAGACAACTTATTTCATCTCTCAAAATTATAAATCTTTTTTTTTTTCCTTCTTGGTAACTCAAATTCATTGTGATAAAATTGCTGGATCTTTCCCTTACTCATGTATTCAATCCTTAATCAGCACATTAAGATATATATATAATAATAATAATTATATTTGCTTTATAGAGCGCCTAACGCTTACTTTATCAGAAGTCTCTATGCGCTCTACAATAATGCAGCATAATTACCCTGGCTTTAAGCAGAGCAGCTGTTACGCGCTCTGCGTTTCAAGGTAAAATTCTTATCAGGTCCCCATTAACTTCACCTGGGTGAAGTGTGGCAAATGTAGATCAATGTCTTGCCAAAGGACATTAATGCCGCGGCGGGACTCGAAGCGCGGACTTTATGATCGACAGTCCGGCGACGTATCCACTCGACCACGACACCTCTACTGATATATTGATAGTTTAAATGCCTGGCACGTTGACATAATCTCTGTTCCTGGCGTCATTTAATTCTTCGTAGTTAGCCTCCTGATCAGGCTTCTTAAGATCTTGGTAGGTATGAGGGTCGGTAAGATCCTCGTAGCTCTGATCAGCAGTATTAATGTCTTGGTAGGTATGGACGTCTGTCTTTGACTGATCAAATACAGGGTTCTCATACTGCGGAGACGAATCGGAGTCCTTCCCTTTAGACTTAGTAGTGGCTGATTCATCGCTGAAAGTTAATAATATGAAAGCAAAGATAAATTGCATTGAAGAAATACATAGTTTTACAAATAATAAAGTCCAAATAACAGATATATAGAAATATGTCAACACGGCATGTGGGAATTCAGTTTCAGTTTCAGTTTCAGTTTATTTTCATATTTCACATGTTGTATAGTACATCATTACATTTAGCATGTTACATTTTGTACTCATTTTACGATGCGTTTATACTAACAAAAAGAATAATACATAATACTTAGTTGTATAAAGGAAGAAATATGATGGAGCCTTAAGAGAAATTAATGCTTGTAGGTCATAGGCTCCGGAAGTTATAACAATGATATAGTCTTGTGTATATTAAAAAACGTAATGAAGAAAAAATAAACAATATTCATATACTTGTATATATTTGTATTACATTTTCACTACCCGTACGCAATGGCAATTCTCATGGTATGGTACCTTGGAAATGCGTGTCATTAACATAATAAGTCTTACGAGTGGGTTGCCATAACATTTAAAAAGCGTTATGCTTCAGACTGTCTACGTTGGGTCCAAATAAATTGGTATATATTAACACGTAAACATGACAATTGGCATGTGGGAATTGATATGGTACTTTTAAAATATATGTAAGTAATATAATAAGTCTTTTAGAGGCCGTCTGGACTAGTTTGGCTAGGAGGGATTAGTCCATCCAGGGTGGTCACTGACATGTGGCTATCTCATCAACTCAGCTCTCAATTAACTTAAGAAAAAGTGGATGATAAGTGACCAATGGTCACCAATTAGGCGTTGTTTCTATATATAGGGAGCAAGTAGCTACAAGTAGTACAGTGGGGCTTTAAACTGGTTTCCATTGCATTTAGAAAGCGTTATGCTTTAGAATATTTACATTGAATAGCAAATTTTAAAAATGAAGAAAGTATTCAAATAAATTTATAAATCATATTTCAGCTTGCATTGTCATGCCCATACAGTATTAGCCATATGCGTGGAGAAGTACGATGAGAATGGACTGCTGTGAGGGACGAATTAAGTACAAGGTATCTCTCTAACCTTCTTCGCTTGTAAAGGAAGATGATGAGAATTATAACGATAACAATCACAACAATAGCACCAACAGCGCTTCCTACGACAGTTGCTATGAAACTTGACGAAGTACCTCCAGTCGAATCTGATTCTGGTGGAGAAGAGAAAGTAGTTGAAGAGAATGGTGTTGGAACTAGGATTGTAGTAAAAAGAAAGTTAAATTACAAACACAGTACTGGTCTACTCCTCTGTCGTCTCCAATCTTAAAATGCAATTTATTCATTTCCAAACGAGAGTATAAGACTTTCTTTTGACATTCTTAACGTGTAATGTAATTTTAAATGTATTTTTAACAATCTTTTTAACGTGTCAATATTCAAAAATGAGATTGATTTAATTATGTATATATCACCTAATCATGTCAACGTGTAAACATGAATAATCCAGCTTCTGCTGCTTTTCATGCAAAATGACATTTCCAATGCATGTATTTTGAAATTGAATAATAAACCATTATTGAATTGAAATAAACAGACCATTTCGTAGTTAGCACATGGGTCAAAATAATGACCCCAAATATCTACAGATCTTCTACTCATGGAGAAGTCCCACTTTGTGTATTTTAGAATAATCAATGCCAAAGTCATGTATGTGCTTCATGAAAAGCTTTTGTTTGCCCTCTTGTTGCATAGAATGTACCGTAGGTGCACACATGAATAATAGGGACTTTTAGATTTGCACAAATATAACGTGGATTGCTACGATCGACGTCCTTTTAATGCACTGCCTTGAATGGACGTCACACGTATCAGTTCACGCAAATCTAAAAGTCCCTAGTGATTACATAACATGAACACGTATTCATCTCGGTGGGTTTTACAATTTTATCACAAATGACCTTTATCTGCCCATGCGCAGATAGTATTTACGAAATGGCTTATTGAATTGAAATGACAGAAGTTAAAAATACGACGGTAGCATCATAGTTAGTAGCTAAATAATAAATATATCAGGTACTAGATTAGAAATATCAAGGTAGCAACTGAGTTGATAGATAAATGAATGAATTAGATACCAGCATATGATCATATTTGATTATAATGGCATGCAAACATACCAGTCCCAGTAGTTTGCTTACACCACACCTAAATATTTATGATTCACATATGGAAAGCTGTGTGTGTGCCTGCGCTCCAGGGGGTGCGTGCGTGCGTGTATCAGTATGTGATTATTGTTCAATACATGGGGCATATATGGGCTTAGGGCGTTATTATCGAAAGCGGACTAACTTTAGTCCACGGTTTAATCCTCCGACTAAGTACGTAATGCCAAGTGTCCATATAAATATATTTTTGAATAATTTGATATGTCCCTAAATAACCAAGATAATATAATTATTTCATAATTATATTGCTATTTATTAGTTATGTTATTAAATTCTATTTTAATTTAGTGACAGATTAAATTATTCAAAAATATATTCGTATGTCATTTTAAATTACATTAAATGATTGTACCTTGACATGCTGAGCCAGACCATCCTTGCGAGCAATCTATTGTACATTGTCCAGTGACGTCATCACAATCTGCTCCATCAGTACAATTACATTCTTGAAGACAATCAGCTCCAAACATACCGTCTGCACATGCTGTAGGATGAGAAAGACGAGATATTACGAGATTCATGACTTGACATAGTGTTTAATGAATTTGCTCCCCCGAACATTTAATTCGCGTGTGACCTAAGCATATTTTTGTTCACGTAATACACAGGTGCCCATTCTAAAATCCTGATAATTTCCATGCATATATATATATATATATATATATATATATATAAACCCGCTATTCGTGTATACACATGTTAAGGTACCACCATAATTATCTCCAAAGTGTAATCCATTTTAGACAAATCCTGTAAAAGGATTTAGTTTTTAACCGTGCAAATTGTATAAAACACAATGTCAAAACCATTGTTGTTTAAAGGTTTCTGGTTTCCTCCAAATTTCATTCATTTATAGAAGTCCTTTTAGCACTTACTTTCATTGCAGTATATTCCTGTATATCCAGCTAAACAGGTGCATCCATAAGGATCAGGTAGACAGATCTGACTTCCAGCACACTTGTCCAGAGGCTGACCGGGTCCACATTCAAACTCACAGTCCCAGCCAAACTTATGCATCCCGCACGCTGCATGGAACATATATATTAATCAGAGTGTTCAATTTAGATATGAATCACAAGTTCTTAAAGGGTCCTTTCTCCGATTTATCAATGTTTTTCTTCCCATAAGTGTTGACTTCTAAAAACCTGTCGGTCGACAATAAACGGAAATGTTTCAACAATTTTATTACTAATATACATCGAATTCAATTATATAAACAAAATCTATTAATAGGAAATGTTTTGAAAAATGAGATGAAAAGAGCACGTAATATGCAAACCTATTCCAGTCAATCAAAACTCTCCCAAGCCACAAGCGACAATATTGTTATTTTTTCTTATTTTGATTTGGAAAACAAATCTGTTGTCAGTCATTATAATCATTGGCAAATAAGCATTGAACTAAACTAATAGTTACTTATGGAAACAAAAGACGTGAAAAACAGATAATCTTCCCACGACCTTTATGTAAGTAATAAAATAACCATTGTTTCATTATCTTTACTTGTATTAGAATATATTGTGATTATTATTATTTTTATAATGTTCATGATGATCGTTATATTACATTACTTATCACTATTTTTATTATCATCGCCATCATTATCAGCATAAGTCTCCTTCTTCCTCTTTTCCTGTTCTTCTTCTTCCTCTTTCCTTTTCTTCTCCCTCTTCTTTTCTTCTTCTTTCCTTTTGTAATGGTTATTGTTGTTGTTATTATTATTCATACAAAAAAAATTATAAAACATAGTAGTATCTAATTGTAAAGATTCAACCAAAGGAAAAGAATGTATTAGATAAAGACAAATAAAGGGGTTTTAATATTTTCTTCAGAGATTTCTCGATTTTACCTTGGAGGCAGTTCTTTCCAGCATGGCCAGGAGGACAGATGCATGTTCCTGAGAGTTCGTGGCATACACCTCCATTATAACAACTATCACATAAACGATCGCATAATGGTGGATTCCATCTTCCATAAGGGCACTCTGTTAATGAAATGAAACATGAACAATAGTGGATATATATATATATACCACGGAGGTACCATGGGAGGTATTTTGAAGGGGGTAGCCTAGAAAAAGAAAAAAAAGTATGAAAATCAAACATATTTTTAAAGTAAAGAAAAAATAAATCAAGTGACTCTTTTAAATGCTAATGAAATAATAGGTCAGAAAGTTTTAAAATGAGTATGATGTTTCCCCAATAACCCTCGAAATATTACCTCCTTCGAGGACAATTACCCCCCCCCCCCCCCACTAACAATAACCCCTTGAAATTAACCCCATGGACAATTACACCCTCCCCCGAGGACAACCAACTGAATATTGCTCCTTTTAATAGACAATCAACCTCCGCCCCCCCCCCTCGAGGACAACTACCCCCTCCCCCCGAAAAAAAAATAAAAACGAACTTATTATCAGGGTGGAAGTCCCCTTTAATGAACAGGGGGTGATCTGCCGGGTTGGGGGGGGGTTGTCCTCGGGGGTGGTTGACCTTGGTCGTCCAGGGAGGTTATTGTCCAAGGTGGTAATTATCCGAGGGGTAATTGTCCTAGGGGTAATTTTCAAGGGTGGGTAATTGTCCTTGGGGAATCATTTTCATGGGGTAATTATTTTCGGGGGGGGGGTTATTGTCCTTGGGGGTAGTTTTCCGGGGATGATTTGTTATATTACATTTGAATAATAGTTACAGAGCAGAAAGGAGAATTGTTCCTGTATTTAACATCCTTGCGAACAATATGTAATGATATATTTTCGACGTGTAAGGTAGGAGGAATCGAACCCTTTACGATGAGTCTTATGAAGCTGAATTGATGTTGTTCCAACGTTCCATCCTCGTAAGTCACATACACACCGGCGTCTGAGACAGATGCAGATTGGATTGTGTGTGTTAGACTACCAGAACTCATTCCGATAAGTGAATTAGCCCAGTCTACATCAGTGATTTTCCGCCATCTGATCCCGTCTTCACCTACCATCCCTGTCGTGCTCATCACACTGAGTGTGATATCATCTCCAACGTGTACTGTCTTTGTAAATCGACCATCACTGGGTTGCCATTGGCCTACGAAATGAAGAAAAAACAGATAAGAAAGGAAAAATCGATAATTCAATCTCACATTTGAATCTTATTTTTTCTGATTCTTTAATATTTCGTCATTGCTCCTTTCATATTCTTTCTTTTTCTCTCCCTCTTATTCATTTAATCCTCTGTCATGTTTACATTTGCATTCACTAAAGGTTCTTAAGAAGTAAAAGTAGGTAATATTATTTCAAAAGTATTAACATTGATGGTATTTTTAGGAGTGTTCACATTTCAAAGTATTCAGAACAAATATTTACACTTAGTTGAATTGTTGTTGTTGTATATAATCGTAAAAACATAGGCCAATGTGAAATCATATATACGTACGGGTAGAAGGAAGAATGCCAAGAGGAGCAGATGTCATTCTACTGGCTGTCACCGCAGAACATTCGTAAAATCCCAAGCCGTCCATAGTAGTTGGAAGAGTCTGCCTTAACACTACAGATGATGCACCATTGCTGTCTCCTGGTGCTGTGTAACTATCGGAATTTATAGCCTCGGTCAGACGGACGAGTCTTCTGGTGGACAATGTGAGAATCTCTTCATTCTCTGAGCCGAGTAGACAGATAAATGACGCATTCACCAGACCTCCTCCGTAGGGAGATGGAGTAGCTGCCATTAGACGCACAGGAAGGATCTGTCGCGGACCTATGGGAAATAATTATTTTTTCAAGTAATTGGTGTCCGCCCAGCATCTTCATTAGAGGAGAAGTAAGGGGGGATACACATAACGTTGACAAGGCAATGACTTATCTCACACTTCAACCTTACATTTCATTTATTATATTGTTCTTGCTGTTCCATGCAAATCAATTTTTTCATATATATATATTTTATTAACAAAGATACTTCCACTCCTAAAAATGAATGGTATCAAAATCTATGGAAACACAATCTAAATGATATAGATACTTAATGAAGTCAAGTTCCTCTCGAGTTATCAACTGTAGATAAACCCTAAATGAGTAGGAATGTTTAATACGCAGATTTCATATCTCATATGATGAACTATGTTCCTATTTTACCTTAAAATAACGGTACAACTATGGCTCTAAAACAGTGGTTTCAAAATATTAGAATGTCATCAATTGGATAATTGTTTCGTTTGTGGCATTTTGAATTAAAGGTGGACGGGCATCATTTGAGCATGGGCTACCATAAAGGGTACCCTATATAATAGAAATATAACGCGAATACTCACTCGGAGGTTTTTCACATGCGAACCTGAGGTACGATGTACATCGTAGTTTTCTCCATGCATTATCAACCTGCTGATAAACACATCTTCCATTCTCAAAAAGGGTTGCATTACCATTCGACCAAGCAGGAAATCTGGAAAGGTAAATTATGTTCCGAACAGCAACGTATTAACACATTATCAATAAAAGATATATTTACTTTAATGGGCATAACCATGAAAAGTTGAAAGGGCTATGTGAGCGTTTTGATTCGAGCTTCAGTTAAAATGAATATTAATTATAATGTAAATATAAATAAGTATGCCTTTCTTGCAAATCATGATCATGGCTTGAATGTTAGGCTCCCTGACGTATGCATACAAAAAACGTGGAAAGTATTAGACAAATTCATTATTTTTCGGGGGGGGGGTGCTATCAATCAATTGGAAAACCCATCCTAAAAATCATGAATATCATCTCAGATAATCATGTTCTTAAAATTACATACCAGCTTATACTTGTGTCTGCAACATTATGATCGCAGTTTGACAAGAGTAGAGTATGTGAGATATTGCTGTGTGTGTATGAATAATACAGTTTAACACATACTCATTATTGTCGAGTTGAGTGCCATCAATCCATTGAAACGTGCCCTCTTGATTGATATCATCGAGTCCAAACCAATACGAGTTATCTCCAGCCAGCGTCATGAGATGCATCTGGTGAATGCATTGAGAGAATATATCAGAAAGAGAAAAATCACCAATGATTATTTCTAATGTGCCATGATAATGATAGTGGGATAATTTTATCAATGTGTCTATGGTACATAACATCATTGAAACTTGAACTAGTTGAAATAAGATATAATTTTGATTCCTTATAATGTGCTCATCACAACAATATAGTGCTGCTCTATAACCTTTTTCCAATTGTTTTCACATAACCTAACATAATCTCTATTTCCCTTACATTAATGTTATTGTTTCTATTTTCTATTTTTTGCACACTTGATAAATTATTAAAAGCCCGTTACAATTTGTATCACGTTTTATTTACACGTTCCATACTTGGAATGAAACTTGTTAATATCACGATGCGTCCTTACATTAATTTCTTCTGTTTTAGGCTGGGCAAGATCACCTCCTTGATCCTGGCAGTACTTTCTAGCAAATGAGTATGACGTCATCGAGGATTGAGAGATATAGTACAGGGCTCCATCAAGCCGACTCCACTCATTTTCAGGAACATCTACATATTGATTATAAAAAGATGATTGCCATTATTAGGTATTCATTTTGTTTTGAGACAAAAAGACGAGATAATTACTTCAAACCATTACGTGTTATTGTATAATTTGTATTCATCATGTTCATACTAATAAAACACCTGACATTTACATTGCTATGAATGCGATGAATATCCCATTATTATGAACATTTCGCTACTTCCAAATAATGTAGGTGTCATTAATCCTGCTTTTAACCGTAGTTCTCAGCGCGCAGTACATTCCATGAATAATTTCTACTAAGTACCCACTTACTACACGTCGGTCGAACGTTAGTGATGTAGCAGGGATTCTTAACCCTCTCCTTGTAGCATGTAGGATAATATGATGCATACGATTTTTGAAAGGTTGTGAAATGTGGAAAATAACTTAATAAATTCCAACTCGCTTTGCATCTTCGCACAAGTGTATTTTGTCATGATCACGTAAATTTACATGAATAAAATCGATACAAGCACTTTCGAGGGGTTGAAACTTTGAAAAAAATCTCTCTTAGATTCGCTTTTACAGTGTAATTTTCATCGAGATCTTTGCGACCTTTGCGATGATGCAAACCCCTAGTCACTAGGTAGAATCATACTCTGATGACTTATCCACAAGGGTTAACAAACAAAAAAATGCACAAGAGGGGGGGGGTGGAGTTGTGTTTGCTCCAAGTCGACAACAGTGGATTAACCCTAATAAGGCCGGGGATGCATTATGCCCTCCCCCCCCCCCCCTCCACGATTGTTCTGATTGTTCGGGAACGCAGATCGGGATGGCGCCCCGCCGCTCGCTGACTCGCCACAAGGGTAAACAAACAAAAAAATGCACAAGGAGGGGGGGGGGGGGTTGAAATCGTGTTTTACTTTTACCGAATTGAACAAACAAAGCAAACCATTTTTCGTTGTAGAAACGGAAACGATCATGCATCATTGGCATGTGACTTACCCTGATAGCGTTCACATATGAAGGATAGTTTGTTATTGCATGAATCATCACCCCATCCCATGTTTGAATCAGAAGGTTGTAGAAAGGCACAATCTTGATTTTCCCCGTCGTTTGGTTGACCAGACCCCCATGAAGAATACCTGTGTGTATTGCATAAAGGAGAAATTAATGAGTAAACAGACGGTTAAACATAAGAATGGTTTTAGGGGTGCGTGTTTCTATTTGCTTTGTTCTTAGTTTTGTGGGTTTAGTTTTTTGGCATTATATTGGCAGATATGCAATCTTAGTTCTGACAAGTGAAGTGTAATAACCCATGTCATATAAGTGAATTGTCTTATTTTTTGGCTTTTAAATATTTAATCTCTCAACAGTAGTTTTGGGGTTTTTAGTACTAACTACAAAAATGTCATTATCAAAACATAAGATAGCGATTAAAGTGAGATTAAGAAAGTTTTAGAAAAATAGATTTCATGAATTAATATTCTAGTTACAATGAAAAATTTCCGTAAAATTTTCGTTATTCTTACTTTTTTTTTTGGGGGGGGTCACTTATCTCAACCTACATGTATATATAATGAGACGAACATTTTACAGATTATATAATTATTAAAGGAGTAATATAAGTACTTTTGAGCTTAGCAGTCATTTCAAAGTAGAAACGACTAACTTTTCACACACAGCTAAAATTCATCATATCTAGAGATGATTAGTTTAAACGTGTTTAACTCAACAGTTTTAAACATGTTTAAAGAAAATTTTCCCTGTGTGAACATCGTTTATACGATGTTCGGATAGATACGAAGTCGCGATTCATACGCCCCTAAAAGCAGGCTGCAGATACGAAGTTCGTATCTAGAGAGCTTGACATTTTGTGTGTGAACGGTTATTCATGTTTAAACGTGTTTAAACTAGATGGAGCATGCGCTTTGTTTGATATGACATGACCTTCAATGCGCAATGGCACTACTGCGCATTTTAAGAGCAGTAGTTAATCACGAAACGATTAACGATCGCACCGAAATTTCTGTGTGTGAATGATGTCGAATGTACAGCTGATTAGTTTAAAGCCCTTTAAACTAATCATGTTTTTAGATTTTTAGCTGTGTGTGAAAAGGCTGCAGGTTGGCATTCCATATTTATTAAACCTACTGTAAAGGTGTTCCGTCGATCCATATAAATGTGCCTTCATCAGCTTGGTCAGTCAAACCAAAAAGTATCTGGTCATTTGATCCCGAATATTCTTCAGAATTCCTGACATGGAGAAAAGTCTGTTGGGAAGGGAAAAAATGTCACCTCATTAACTTCATTCGTTTTTCATGTTTAATGATCAGTTTTAAAAGGATTGGAAATCACAGTGTTTACATGACTGTTATATTACCTCTGCTATCAACTACAAATCATCCTTTTGGGAATTGGCATTTGCTTCCGATTTCATCCCGCATTCACGAAGAACCGGTTTGTCTATCAAGTCACATACGTCATTCAATCGTGATATTACTTCATGAAATATTCTTTCCAATATTTGCATAGCTCAATAGCCATGTTAACCTCCAAGCTGTGATAGAAAATACTAATAAAACAACCAAAAAAATAATATATGTTTAATGGTACAACATTTCAGATAGCCGGATGAAAACGAGTACATATAATTGAACATACATTGATATCGTGTGATTTGATGAGTGCTAAATCAGCTCCATGATACTGACAGTAGGTCCGTGCATCTGAGAAAGACCGAGCTAGCCATGAAGGAGAGGTGAAATAATCTAGACCTCCAAATGATGCTTCACTACTTTTATCAGATACTGTAATAAAGCATAAGTTCTAGTGAAGAAATTATTGTGATTAGTAAGAGTGTGATATTAACGAAATTGCGTCGGATTTTCTCTGCCCAATTTAGGCATTCTTCTGATTCTAGGGAGCCCTTTTTGGCCTAGCAGTCGATATGATAAACTTTGGTTAATGTTCCATTTGTTGTCATTTCTTCAAGAAAATTATTCATCCACTATCTGAGGATGAAACTATTTCGTCGGTGTAAAAATGCGCAAGATTTAAAAACAAGATTTTCATTTTTTTCCTGAAACAAACAATTGCAGTGGTATCTTTTGTAGAAAGAGAAAATAGCCAATCAGCCAGACATCCCATGATGGTGTTCGAAAAATGGAAAATGCATGTTTTTGTTCAATAATAATAACGGATTTCATTTAGAAAGTGGCGCAATATCCGAAATATCTGAAAAGCAATTTAAAATTCAGCCTTTACGAAACATGCTCCAGCGACAATTGCTCTGCAATCGATTTCTTACCCTAAACGAAGTCCAAGCTTCAGCACTTTATCGTTAGGCCTACCACGACCTTAATCCTTACCAACATGATCCAAAGACAAATCGGTTGTTAAAATATAGCCCGGAGCAACTGTCACCAGAACACAATTCACGTTGGATCATCAGAATTCATACCTGGTGTACGCTCACAAATGTACGGTCGAGATGTATGTGAAGCCTGGTCATACCATGACGCGCCATCACGCACACCAAGACAACCCCAGGAGTTAGCAATATTGGGTTCCGTGGCTGTATACCAATCATTATACCTAGGAGGAAAAACGGTTTATAAATTAAGTACATATTATGATCATGATCATAATTATTATGATTATTATTAATAATAATGTATATACTATTGTAATTAGTAATAGTAGTAGTAGTAGTAGTGGTAGTCTTGTTATTATTATTATCATCATTATCTTCATTATTCTTATCATTATTATCATCATCATCGTCGTTATTAATATTAATACAATTATTATTTCATTTTTCGTGTAATATTGAGAATAATCAGGAGGTTCGGATATACATCATTAAATTAAAAATGAATTTAACCATATTTATTCACATTAAAACATATGAAGAACATACTGGAGTGGAGTATCATCCAGCCAGTAGAAAGTTCCGCTGCCACTCCTCCAAAGCCCGAAAAAGAAACAAAAATATTCATCACTACATGTAGGATCTAATGTAGGTAGAAGCGCTTTGAGGAATGTCTGTTAGCAAAATAGAGAAGAAAACAATCATAATTAATGTATGATTTATTCACGAATTAAGTCAGAATGAAAAACCTTGTGTTAGCTAAGATTGTTTCCTGTGTTTTAAGGGGGTCCCTCTCTCTCTCTCTCTCTCTCTCTCTCTCTCTCTCTCTCTTTTGATGTATAAACTGTGCATGTGAACGGCACTTTGTCTTTTAATATATGTTGTAAATTTTTCATATTTTGCATATTGCGACATAACGTTTGAATTTATTTGAATATTTATTTTATTCTTTCGTCTTTCATTCTAATTAATAGACAATCAAACCGAAATAGCAAGCTAATTTTGATAAAATGATAAGAAATGCAATAAAATCCGTTTGATACAAGAGTTTTACATGAGGCCGGCAAGAAATCGTGAATGAAATAATCGTTCACTGGAAGAAAAAAATGTGTAAAATATGTAATTACTTCTAATATATACAGATTGATTCTGAACAAAATAAATGTTTTTTGTTGGGAATACGAATTTTCTATTTACAACTTTTAATAGGGGGTGTGCAGCCGTTCAAAGATAGTATGACCGTTTTTGTTTTGTTTCGTCTAGATTTGATTTCATTGCATAGCAATATGTTTACTTTCATTCGTTTCTGCCGTGTAATTCAGTAAAGCATTGCGTTGATCATGATTATTCGATATACCATAGCCAATTTGGGAATAAAAACACATTTCAAATGTCATTGAAACCAATCAAGTCCACAGACAAGTCCCCATGCCTATCAACCCCCCCCCCCCCCCCCCTTCCCCCGCGAACCACTTGAACGAGACAACAGACGTGATTTCCCGAGACCATGGTCAGTGAAATCTGGGTCGGCGTTATTTGCGGTGACTAGGGTGTGGTCTCTCCAACGTGGGTGTACATAATATTCTAGGTACATGTAGTTTGCCCTGTAGCGTATATTTTAATTTCCTTAATTATCTTAATCATCTTGACCGAGTGAATACTGTATACAAATGTTTCACTAAACTTACGTTGACTTCGGCTGTCTTGATCATAGCCAAATCACCGCCATAACTTTGACATATCTCCCTGGCAGCACTTGGCGTTGCACGAGGTGTGAACTTGATGAGATACTGAGATTCACCGAGCTCTTGCCATCTACGGTCATCGTCTGTTTATATGACATAAAACAAACCTGAGAATGGAAGACAGCTACTAAACTACTACAAACTGAAATATTGGATGGGCTATCAAATACAAAATGTCAAAGAGTATATATTACCTGTTTACAAGTATAACGATGCAAGCATTTTACAGCACTTGCCATTCTATTCATGCACAGTAGAGATCATTAAAGGGCAATTATCCAACACACAAAAAGATAAACAAAACTAGATTTGTAATACTTGTTTGGAACAAGTAAAGGTGGGCTGATCCAACAAAAAATTGAGACAAAATGAAGGGTACATTTGAGATAGCTTTTTGTCTCAGCTACAACATACTTGAAGTTCAGCGTAAATGAAGCTAAAACGACGTAGATATTGCTCGCGAAAGACGGGAATGTAGAATCAAGTTTTGAGAAAAAGTTATGTCCCATAGAGAATACACGCTAAATGTGAAAAATTGACATGCCTCCTTTAATCGCAAAAATACGCCATGATGCCTTTGTCAAAATGAAAAATCGTGGCAACTAGATATGTAAAGAATTGTCTCAGCTAGAACATTTTGAAAAAAATATAGCAATTTTTACAAAGATACAATTAATTTTCCAATAATATGCTGACGTCATAATTTGCAAATTGAAATTTTGAGTTCGGAGGCCTTTATTATGACGCCATGACTTAATTGAGGGTCAAATGAGACATGAAATCATATCTCTGAATCATACTCTATTAAAATATGAAAAAAAAATTGGGGTCACCTTGCATCCTAAAGAGCTACAATAGATTTTGTATAGGCATGTTTTTGCCCATATATGCTATGTATTACAAGAGCTCGCGCGCACTGGAATTTATGTTAAACGGTCGATTATTCCGTTATTAATAGTCATAAAGAGACAAACATGGTATTAATTTGTTTGTAAAAATATGTGGAAAATTATGAAAGAAAAAAAATGGCGATTCTATGTTGTGTAAAAGTTTTACGCGCGTATGCGCGTGTGCGCGATTTTTTATAAAATGCTTAGAATGGCCTAAAACGTATGCAAAATGATTTTGAGACGATTTTGAGCATTTTAATATTTTGCGCGCGCGTTCTTTGACCTGAAATTGACCGGACGGATATTGACCTTGATCATGATAAATATGAATGAGGAATAGCTTTTGGTTATGAATATATAACATGAGTTGATTTTCGTAAAATTTTACAAAATGGCGCCTAGATGACGTCATCAGTAAAGGTCAATGTTGAAAACCATATTGTACTTTGTACATATGCCTATACATGTGTGTGCTAAATTTGAAGGTTTTTGATTGAGCCATTTTCAAGTAATCGTGCTTACAAAAAAGTGGTTAGATGTAAGAAAAATAAATAATAAAGGCAATTCGAACGAAATTATAAGGTGGTCTGTACGTTATACAGCCCACCTGATGATGACATTTTAAATTTAATCTGACCAATAATAAGAGAATTATGAATGTTTGAAAAGCAAGGTCTCTTAATAAGTGCGAATCTCAAACTGGCGATTTGGTTCTTGGATTGTGACGTAGACACGGACAACTCTATCGTTTGTCGTGTACAAAAAGATAAATAACTGTTGTTTTTATCTTTTCTGCTTCCTTTTTGAGCTTTCTTCTATTCTATTATAGTTTGTTATTAAGGTTGGACTGCCTTTAATACATGAAGGTAACACGTATTTCAAACAGGAAGACTGTATGATATTACATATTGAGGATGATTCTTCTTTGTGCTGTGATTCCAGCTAACACTGTGTGAGAGAATAATCTTTTACTTTTGGTGACATTTTATGTCAATTTTTGTGACATTTCTTGTGAAATTTTCTCGAAATATTGTCGAAATCCGCAAAAAAAAATGGCACAATATTCTGCGGGATTGGCCGTAAATTTCCACAATACTGAGTGAGATAGCACGCTCTCTGATCTCAGTAATGTATAGACAGATCCGGTAAGACTATATTAGAGTGCTGTCGTTATCAAATTCATTCATATTCATACAAACTTTTTAGATATCGTCTCGGACATCGTTATAGACATAGACGATCTCTTCAATATACATCGAACACTCTTTAATTATATTCTACCTGGAATTTTTTTTATAATACGTCTGGAAATTATCCAGCTAACCATAATTATGTTTTGCTGGAATTCATATCTTTTCAAATATATGTCATCATTTAAACAAAATTATTTGAAATATATACTTATAAATTGCATCGAATAACTAATCGAATAATCATACAAACGAGAACATTATAATTGACGAATGAAAATGATTGGGATACCTCCTCCTTCCCCTCCAGAGAGCATGATAAATCTTCGGTTTGCATGAACATGATGAATTAAATAATTGCAGCAAGACCACTCTTTAAAATTACTATTGGAGTAATATATGGACCAAAAACTTTTAGACTTAAAGAACATCATCGAAATGATATCGCGGAATTTTTTTACTTGACATTGCTCATTATTGTTCAGCAATCAACAGTCACTTCAATAAATATGTGGCGACATCACCTAGAAGAGGGTAAGTGAATTATTGCCCCTTTAATCTTGGTAAATTAAGTAAAGTTTACATAATAATCAAAGTAAACGTTTGATTCTTCGTTCGGCTCTTATCATTTATAATTAATTTTGCATGGTAACAGACATGACAGCCCATCTAGAGCAAAAGGAAAATATGTTTGATCGTTATCTAGTATCAATACGGCTCTCTGGTATACATGTTTTGATATCACTGTACACGCCGTAGATAAAAACTGGGCACAAAATAGTAAACGAAATTCGATTGTAAACATTTTGTATCAAGAACAGTCTGCCAATATCGATCTAGAATATGTATACAATGTTATTTATTCAATAGAATGAATCCAAAAAGATACCCCCACATCCTTCTCAACGGAAATGTACATGGCAAGCGCCCAAGAGGAAGACCAGCTAAGAGATGGAAAGACTGCATCAAGGCGGACTGCAACAACGGACAACTTGACTCCCTGACTAAAGCCACTAGGCTAACACAAGATAGGAAGGTGTGGCAAGCCGTTGTGAAACAGAAGCCATCATACATCCCAGTGATGGTGTGGACGACTTAAGTCAAGTAAAGGAAAGTTATCTTACACGTTCCTTCAGAACTGGACTAAACAAAGTGAGAACGAAAAATGACTTGAAATACCTACCGATAGGTATTTGGCAGATGTGTCGTCTTTCTGATGTGCATGCTCGTCGATTCCATCGTCCATGTATTGGGTCAGTGAGGCTCAACCGAGACCTCATCACAGCACAGTAAGGTGGTGGTTGGTCCGGGTTGGTATATAGAGGAGCGTCCCAGTTGGTATACCTTGAAAATGAGTAATTTATATATATAT